GCCTGTGTCCAAATCACTGAATCTTTCCGAATCAGAGGGTTCCGATTCGACTGAAAGAGATTAGAGGGTCTCCTGATTCAATTCGAAGATTCTGCCACCAAATCAAGCTGAATCGAATCAGGGACTGAAGCTCCGCACAGCCTTAAAAGACAGCCCAAAGGAATGCAGTCTGACAATTAAGTACAGTCAGATCCCTCTTCCAGCTGTGCATATTGCTATGTACACTACACTAGAAAAGTAGTATGCTAACATCCAGCTAAAGAGAAATGCAAAGCACTCAGCAGCACTAAGATGTGGAGGCAAGTGGGCACACTAGAAGGGAGGAATAGGCTGCAATCGGACCTAAACAGGTTACAGGGGTGGACGAATGAGAACAGGATGGGTTTCAACACTGACAAGTGCAAGGTGCTGTAGCTGGGGGGGAAGAACCAGCAGCATACCTACAGGCTGGTGAACTCCCTTCTCATCAGTGCAGAGGCAGAAAAGGATCTTGGAATCATCATTGATGCCAAGATGAACATGGCCCGACAGTGTGGGGACACAGTCAGGAAGTCCAACCATACCTTGTCATGCATCCACAGATGCATCTCAAGCAGGTCCAAGGAGGTGATACTCCCCCTCTATGCGACACTGGTCAGGCCGCAGTTGGAGTACTGTGTCCAATTGTGGGTGCTGCACTTCAAGAGGAATGTGGATAATATGGAGAGGGTCCAGAGGAGGACCACTCATGATCAGGGGGCAGCAGGGCAGGCCCTACGAGGAAAGACTACAGGGACTTGAACCTGTTCAGTCTCCACAAGAGAAGGCTGAGGGGGGATCTAGTGGCCATTTACAAATTAGTCAGAGGGGACCAGCAGGCATTAGGGGAGTCCCTGTTCCCCTGAGCACTACCAGGACTGACTAGAAATAACGGTCACAAGCTGGCAGAGGGTAGATTCAGACTAGATATCAGGAGGCGCTACTTCACTGTCAGGGCAGCTAGGATCTGGAACCAACTTCCAAGAGAGGTGGTGCTGGCTCCCACCCTGGGGGTCTTTAAGAGGAGGCTGAACACCTTGCTGGGGTTGTTTGACCCCAGTACTCTTTCCTGCCATGGCAGGGGGTCAGACTCGATGATCTGCTCAGGTCCCTTCTGACCCTACCAACTATGAAACACCAGTTCCCAACCATGTGCTATTATACCCAGGGCCACCTTACCATGAGAAAAAGGCCACATTTTCACAACATCTATCTTTATATTGCTCCAGTGCCCCTTTGGGCAACCATTCTTTTAGGAAATAAGGTAATTGGTGTTCGTATATTAAGCATGGAAGGTCCACAGACAGAGATACTAGATTATTACAAAACAAGTCTATAAATGTAACTGAGATGTTTCAAAGCGGTTTTACCTCCATTAGGACGTCCAATGCTAGGATCAAACCCATCTGAAGAGTTGTGTCGTCTACGATTTGCTTCATAACGATTCTCTGTCCACGAAAAGTTTTCAGAATGTTTCTCCAAATTCAGCGATGACTAGAAATGAGCACAAACAGCACCACTGTTTAACAGCTACACAAGTCCAACAATGCAATACATTTGATTATGCAATGAAAATAAAACCTAGGAAAAAGATGGTACGAATGTTCTCAACATCTCTCAGTTTACCAGCTTTACAGGCCATACAGAACAGCAGCTCCCACAGTATGCAGAAATAGGAACAAGGAAAGATTTAAAGAGTCTACTAGTAGAGAACATCTCCTAAGCAGCTTTAAAGTTGAGTAGAGTATTCAGGCAAGTCAAAACAATATCTACATTAATATTCATGTCTCAATGGGAAAACCACAAATAATCGCAACAGTCATCATGGCTGCCATTTTTACCTAAATGAGTGTGACAGCATTCATTTTGTCAATAGCCTTCTAAAAAATAGAAGAAAAAAATTTAACTTAGAAGTTAAATGAGCTATTAAGAAAAAGGAAAAAGAGGCCAAAATTCTTTATTCCCCCCATCCCTCCTTCATATGCTCAATGGTTATTCATATGCTCCAATATCTGAAGACTTAAAACATGTTTTGTACCTAACACTATAGCAAAAATGTTTGCTTTTAAACATGCTGCAAAAATAATCAAAAAAGAAATAGTTTTCATACATTACTGGAAAGACCCAGGAAAGTTCTTAGTTAAAAGCAAAACATTCCTTTGAAGCAAAAAACACTTAACACAAAATGAGAAGATAAGAACTGCCATTTACAGGGTCAAACCACAGGTCCATCTTGCCCACTATCCTGTGTTATAGTGGCAGAGTGGATGCTGAAAGGGAGAATGAACTGGGTATGACTAGGATTTTTTGCCACTTTTCCTCTCTCACTTTCAGCCTCCATCACTTAAAGGTACAGGAAGTTCTGATTCAGAGGCCGTACCCCTAACTTTGATGCTTAATAGTTACTGATGCCCCTTTCCTCCAAGAATCTGTCCAATCCCTTTTTGAACCTGGCTTCCACAAGATCTCAGGACAATGAGTTCTACACGTTAATTACACACAGTATGAAAAAGAACTTCCTTTTGTTAGTTTGAACCTTACTACCTACTAGTTTCATATTGTGATCCCTGGCTCTTGTATTGTGAAAGACCATAAATAATAAATCCCTATTTACTTTCTCTTCACCACTTAAGGGGGGACATAAGGGTTTACAAAATTAAGTGCATCTCTTCTAAACTGAATAGGCCTAGTTTCTTTAGTCTCTCCTCATACAGAAGCTGCTCCATATGACAATCACTCCTGTTGCCCTTGCCTGGCCCTTTTCTAGTTCTTCTATATCCTTTTTTTGAGGTGTGGCGACCAAAACTGGGCACAGTATTCAAGATACGAACACATCATGGACTTATAAAGAGCCATGATGAAACTTTTAGTTTTGCTTACAATTCTCTTCTTAATAATCCCTAACATTGTGTTTGCCTTTTTGATGGCTGCTGAGTGCCAAGCTGATGCTTTTAGCAAACTGTCCACAATGATTCCCATATCTCTTTTCAGTATAGTAGCAGCTGATGTAGAGGCCCATCACAGCATGGGTATAGTTTGGGTTACTTTTGCCCAGGTACATCATTTTACTCTCATCTATGCTGATTTTCATCTGCCATTTAGTTGCCCATTTACTCAGCCATGCCAGAATCTTCTTTTGTTCCTCACAGTCCACCTTGGTCTTTACCACTCTGAAATAACCTTGTGTCATTCACAAAATATGGCCACCTCATTATTCACCCTTTTCCATATCATTTATATTAAGCAACACTAGTCCCAACACAGAACCCTGAGGGACCGTGTTGTTTACTTCTTTCCATCCTGAAAACTGACCATTTATATTCACTCCTTTACTTTCTATATTTAATCCAATTTCTATCCACAAGTAGACATTCCCTGTAATCCTATGACTACCTAATTTAGTTGAGAGAAACACTAGATATAGATGTTTTAAGATTGGAACTGAAAAAGTATCAACATTTATTTTAAAGTAAAATTTTAAACTAAGAGTTGGTATGAAATGTACAAAACACCCTTTCAGGGGCTCTATTTTCATAACAGGGTATCAGAGCATAATGGCTTTACGTCTTAATTTTTAAATCCTCTTATGCTTTAAAACCTACTAAAACATTTGGTTCTAGTGAACGGATCCTTATCTAGGCAAAGATGCTCAAGGAGGTGGGGAGGGAGGGGGTGAAAATGATGGTAAATCTAATGGACCCACCACCCCAAATGATCATCTTGAACTGGATACCATGACGCAGGACTATTCTCGACTTGTCAAAAAGCATGGTCTGTGCCAAAGCAGTAACACCAACCCCAATATTGTGCAGGAACAGATGTGTATGGAGGTTGGTACAACAGCCACAAAATGAGGATTCTGGGCCCTTTTTAGCTGCTATCAGGTTGGGTCAGCTTGTGCCAATATCAACAACTACCTGCAGCTAAGCACTTCTGAAGACTCTTCCCTACACCTCACACAGAAGACGACCAAACTAGAGTAGTTCAACGTGGGTGCTGAAATAATAGTGCCTGAAAAAAGAAGTACCTACACCTCTGAACCCAACATAAAAAGACTGAAAAGGAGGTTATCGCAGTCTCATATGTGCACCAGATAGCTAGAAGGGACTGATGGGGAGTAAAGCTACAACAAAACTCTGTCCTAAGATTCAGCAGAAAATGCAACAGATTTCTTAGACCTGTGGGGCAGCAGTCCCCTGAAAATGAAACCATTACTGTATTATTTGCAAGGGGAAAAAGTGATCAGAAGCAGTATGAGCTACAAATTAGTAAAATTATTCAAAAAAGCACACACAAATAAGGAAGCCAGAATGACAGATACCACACCTAGCTTTACAACTGACAACAGAAATTGTTCTGGTTAAAATGGTTCCTAGCTGCATCATTTTACTGACATTTTTAAAAAAAATTGAAGACATGATTTAAAATTCTTCAAAGTCTTCAAAAGTAGGTGTGGAGGTCCAGATGCAAGCGAGCATGCTATTATATTCTTAATACAATCATCTCCCCGTCATGTGCTGAACAGGCGATTCAAGTATTTCCTATGCAAAACTGGTTATTCTGATGTGCAAGTAAATAGTTTACAAAGAGATATGACAAATATGATAGAAAACTGCGCATTTCTACATAGGCAGCTTCTTGAAATTCAGATCCTAAACTGCTTACATTGCCAACAAGTTTTAATAGACAAACAACATTAAGGCAGTCATGATCTAGTAATTTTGAAATCTGACGGCTTTCTCCTGGAAAGTACAAGTTCAAACTCTGCTTCTTCTGGACCCTATCAGCGTGCTCACTCATCCACCCACACTTGCTTTTCCCCAAGAATTTTTACTCAGCTTGCTTCAAGTTTGCTTGCAAATTATAAACACTAATCTGAGAGAGCTGATCAATTAAAAACACCACACCTGTAACCACACCTAGATGTGGTTCTGATGTAGAGGATTTTGGAAAACAAAACAATTACTTATTTTTAAAAAAAGCTTCTTGCACAACTGTAAGAGTTAAACACCATTAAAATATAAAGCAAATACAGCAAATTGTGCGAGACAATTTGAGAAAGACTGAAAAAAAAGAGAGAGAGCCCTAAGATATCAAACTATCACCACTGACAGCCACCTTAACAATAATGATAAGCATTTCATTGGTCAAATTCTGGAAGAAAGAAGAGACCTAATGAAAAGCTACCACAACTGACCACTCATTTAAGTACAAGTGGACTTGTAAGTACCCTTTTTCTTCCTACTAGTCAAGCAGCAACGAAGCCCAAGTTGGGCATCCCAGCTTAAGTAAGAAAAAATATGTACGGTATGTTCAACCTGCCCTTCCTCCAAGAGAAATCCAAACCCAAAAACCAGCAGACATGTTTCATACACGTCTCCACAGTCTGACACTTCTTCAGACTTTGATGCGTGGCCAGTGCAAAGTCCTGATTTACTGCTGATTATAATAAATGAAGAGATAACACTTATTTAGTTTGTAAGTCCACAAGAAAAAATGTGCTGTAATAAGCTATCTTCCAGAATTATAAACTGAGCTACGTACATTCTGCTGGGAAATGGCTTTTCATCAGAAAGGAATATATAAATATTTGCTGTATTATGAACAATTGGTACAAATAACTTGAGAAGTCAATGTTATGTGTATTATACACAAACAGCCATATATACAAACACTAGATTTTAAAAACAATAATAATCTCTTTTGTGCTTCCAGCCTCATTTTGCAGCCTTAACACTGAAGTAAAGAATTTGGTAATGTGAGACTCACTAGCCTCTACTCAAACATTGTATTTTTCACATAACAGTCTGGAAAATGGGTTCATCATAAAAAAAATAGGGTAATTTTTATTATAAATAAAAAAAATAAGTCTCCTTAAGAACATTCTTCCCTCAAGCACTTCAAAGTTTCCCATAGCTGTGAAATTAACTCTTCAGTGAGTTTTAACAACAGGCTCCCTCCTAACTGGATATTTTAGAGATTTCTTTATTTTAAAGTTGCTAGTCCCCTGGGGGAAAAATGTTTAGTATATAAATAGGGTTTTAAGCATTTTATATCCCATATACAATTTAAAAAGTCACACAGAACACATTGAATCTAATGGGTTAAATATTTGTGCACATACATAAAAACCTTACCTTTGTGGGTCGGACTTGATGATCTGTTCAGGTCCCTTCCGACCCTAGAAACTATGAAACTAGAAACCTAGAAACTTATGATCTACATTTTCACCACATGATGGAGCTCACACTCTACCAAACTTCCTGTGCTTGAGACTAGTAAGTTTTGTAATCACCAGAAACTCTATTGGCAGTAACTGGAAGTTGAGAAACTAGTTCTCCTAACAGCAAACAACAACACCAACATTCAAAAGCCAGTGCGAGAAAATGACTTTTTGCTTAACATGAAATAATCTAGCAAAAGTTATGAGTCTGAGCCCAGGTATAAGGATTCAGCCTTTACTGCACTGACAATGAGTGGCTCCACAGATAAGT